ATTTTAGCCTCACTCCACTGGCTGCCTATTCAATTTAGGATCCATTTTAAAATTCTTTTATTTGCTTTTAAATCCCTAAATGGTCTTGCCCCGCCCTACCTACCTGAGCTTCTACACCCCTATATATATCCGTCCGCCCCCTCAGGTCAGATGATCAGCTGCTCCTGAGTGTGCCTAAAACTAAGCGGAAGCTCAGAGGGGACCGTGCCTTTGCTGTGTCTGCTCCTAAATTATGGAATGATCTGCCCCTGCACATTAAACAGGCCTCTTCTCTGTCTGTTTTTAAAACCAGTCTTAAAACCCATCTCTTCTCTGTGGCCTTTGACACCTAGTAAGATGTCGACTTTATTTACTTGATTTATTTTTTGTATTTGTTATTTTTATTTTTTGATTGCTTGTTATTGCATGGTTATTATTTTTATTTATGTCTTTTCATTTTATTGTTGTATTATATGTTATTTTGCGCCTCATGTGAGCTGTTATGTCTTTTATTTATGATGTCTTATTTATTCTTCTGTACAGCACTTTGGTCAACTTTGGTTGTTTTAAAGTGCTTAACAAATAAAGTTGGATTGGATTGGATTGGATAATATGGTTACTTTTGATATTGATACAAAGTTGTTTTCAATTATTAGTCTAGTCTAGTGATCATTTGGACAATACGCTGAATATATCTTCCTGTTTCAGGATGAGTTGGAGGCAGTCCAGTAAGGTGCAGTGGCTCGGGTGGCAGTGGTCAATCAAGAAGAGGTGCCTGCGGGAGTGTGTCAATCATCCTCAAGGATCAGGTTATAATCTCTCACAGATCTTGGACAGATGGACTGGTTATTTTCTTTGGAATGATCTGTGCTCTCTATTTGAGCTACCTCAAGGTCTTCAGTTGAGTTCACCCAGGTCATCTTCTTAAATGTTAAGGATAAAAGAAAGCATACGAAGTTACAGGCCTTGAGAAATTAGCTGGATTTTAACTCACAACAGGCTTTGTTGTGCAAGGTCAGTAGCATAAAAGTTACCTTTGGTTTGCGTACAAAAAAGTGAACAAAACTTAATAATTCATCAAGATTTTATTACCTAGAATAATATACATTTCCAGCAAACCACAGTCCTTTAGCAATTTTAAGTACTTACTGTAGAAATAATTCTCAGGGAAAAGTAGAGTTTCAGTTTGAATTTTGATAAAATTAAAGTTATGTGCTGTGTTTTGGAATTTGGTGTTTTCACACTTTAACTTGCATTTTTATTACTTTTTATTTGGGTCTTTAATTGGGATTTTATTTGTATGTATCTTAAACCTGTGTCTACACGTGGAAAATATTTACAAAGGAAGTTGGTGAGGAAAATGTTATGACATATACACCAGCCATAACACTGTGAGCACTGAACAGGATATCTGTTTATCATGGCTCCTGTCAGTGGGTGGGATATATCAGGCAGCAAGTGAACATTTTGTCCTCAAAGTTGATGTTAGAAGCAGGAAAAATGGGCAGCGTGAAGATTTGAGCGACTTTGACAAGGGCCACATTGTGATGGCTGAAGTAGAGTGCCTGGATAGAGACGATGGAGGATCTTCATGAACTTTCTAGGGCATAGGTCACTAACAGGCGGACCGTGGTCCGAGTCCGGACCCAGACGCCGTCCTATGCGGACCCAGACCTAAAATCAATTCATTATTGAGGGATTCTAAATTTTGACGGGGCGCTTCTATTTTAACCTGCACAGCTTTTCTAGTCTTTACGGTATTTATTTAGCAGATCAGGAAGCTCACAGACCAATCGCATGCGAGTTAATCCATCCCACGTGATGCTGCTCAGCCAATCAAATCTGTTTAAACAACAGCGCGACTCTGAATACAGAGATGAGAGTGATGAGAGGCGAGTGACAGACGGAAATAGAAGTTAGCGATACATGGAGAGGAAACAGAGAGATGAGTGAGCGTGAGACAACAGAAGATTTATGGCGCTCTGAGAAGAGAAAAATGGAGAGAAAATAGAGCTTTTAACCCGGAATGGACAGATTCATTCATATTCATTCTTCCCACTGGGAGCACATAACCAGTGTGTCTCATGTTCAGAGACCGTGGCGCTGATTAAAAGTGCCAGTGTGAAACGCCACTATGAGACAAAACACAAAGTTTTCATCAAACATACCCACTCAAGTCTGAACAAGGTCACAGAAAATAAGCAGTCTCAGATCCCAATATGATCAGTCAACCAGTATCCTGACCCATTCATTCACTGCCCAACAAGGGAGAGAGGATAGAGCTCAATTCTCTCACTGAACAACAGAAAGTGGGGGCGTAAGATATAAGATGTGTTGATATTCATTTACTATAAAATTTGTTGAGACTGTTAATCAAGATATGAAACAGTTAACAAAGAAAAAGGGAAACTCCACTGCTGCTACACTTTATTTTTCTAAAGTTAAACACTTTATTTTATTTTTAGACTTAGACATTTTAGACTTAGCAGAGGATGTGGAAGCAGGAGCTGCTGACCCAGAGCATGTGTTAAAGCAGAGGAACTTATTGAAGTTCTTGGAGTTATTTCCACCCTTTTTGACGAGATATTGACCAAGGTGACTGCAGATTTAGAAGAAGGACTATATATCTGGATTGATTTGTCTTGGCTTGATGGCGGGTAACTAATCAGGCGTTAGGATCCGCCTACCAACTTTGATGGGTCAGTTTGACAGATTAAAGTAATTCTTGAAGCTAACGCAGGACCATAATAATTAAATAAATGTGAATAATTATATTTTTTACAAAATGAATGGTATTTGATGAATTATCACATAAACCATTTATTTCCTCATTTCCAATTCCAATTTTAATTAATTAATGACACATTTAAGTAATTATTTAATGGTGTATTTATTTATTTAATTTTGGCACTTTTAGTCCTCCATAGTTACCCAGCCTGCATTAGTCATTACCTATGAAAATTGGACCAAGGAAGGAAAACCAGTGAACCGGATCCAAAAAACAAGCTACTAGCTCAAACTGCTGAAAGAGTTAATGATGGTTCTGATTGAAAGGTGTCAGAACACACAGTGCATCACAGTCCGTTGGTATGGGGCTGCAGAACATTATGACCACCAGGGTGCCTAGATGCTCAGAATCAGGAGTCAGACAAGAAATTTAGTTTTCTTCACAGAACTCAACGAAATGCTAAGATATTGGAGAACTTTGTATAGTTTTCTCAAAATCATGGTAAATGGTACTGTACAGCGCCTCAAAAGCACTTTTACACTACACATTCACCCTTTCACTCAGTGATGGCAAAGTCCATCAAACAGAAACTAACTCATTCATACACATTCACCGTTCAGTTTCTTGCTCAAGGATACTTCAACATGTGGTGGGAGGAGACGGGGATCGAACCAACCACCTTCTGATTAGTGGACAACCCGCTCTTCCTCTGAGCCACAGTCACCCCATGAAAATTCATGAAGCTTTGATGACCCCTAGAACTGTTTGAGTATACCTTCCAAGCATGTAGGAGAAACTCGTGAAAAACACACAAGGCCCTATCTAGAGCCAGTGTTTGGTTTCCATTCTGGGTTACTGTAGAAATATGGCAGCCTCCATGGCGGAGGACCTGCCCCCTTTGTAGGTAAAAAGGGGCTCATTGTAATGTAATGAAAACATAACGGTTCTTGTATTCAGGTGATTATACACTAATGAAAACATACCTATGATTATATTATATTCCATTTCTGACAATAGATCCTCTAAATGTTACACACTGGACCTTGAGCATTGACGGAATGGCTGGAATTAAATGTTGAATGAAAGCAGTATTTGTGTTATAAACAGAATGTGAAAGCAGCAGAAGGACTGGTTTTGCACTGTTGGAATTAATTCTGTGGAAATGGATAATTCACTGCAATCATTAAGACAACAGGAAAACAAGGAAGGTGTGAGTTTGAAATTACAAAAAAAAGCTATAATATAGGCATGTTCCAAATAAAGGCCTGGTTGTCTCTGCAGTTGAGGTAAATAAAGGCGATGATAAATTGGATGGATGTATGGATAGACCATGACAAAAAAATATACTTCATGGCCGAACAAACACAAAGAACAGTGTCACCCACTGAAAATTCCCCCTTAACTGTTATATAAATAATCTACTAAAAACCCTCACAGTACAGGCTGTATTGTAAGCGATCTCTGGGGGGAAAAAAAAATTGCAAAAAAACACCACAGACATGAGCCAAAGATGGAGGCAACATAACCAGCAAATGGAGATCTCCAACTGAAACTTTTCACTCGGCCTAAATTGGCTCCATTTACACATGAAAAGCTAGATCTTGATTTGCCAAGGGATTTACACATTTGACTCCTTTGCGTCACTGGGAAAAGTCTCATCTCTGTCTGTCAGCTAAAAAACATCACACTCTTACAAAGGCTTATAAAAATCCACAAACGAGGGTGGACGTATAAAAAAAAAAAAATCTGCATTCATCTAGCATGCAAGACTGCAGAGAATTGATCACAGCCCACTGTGCAAATGATTTCCTTTAAGCTCTGCTCTGTCTGAGTCAAATACTACCAATACACTGGCTGATAGGGATGTAGGAGTGTGTGTGTGTGTGTGTGTGTGTGTGTGTGTGTGTGTGTAGGTGTGTGTGTATGTGTGTTTGTGTGTATGGTGAACATATGTGCAGTCATATAAAGAATATTCTCTCTGGCAAAAACCAGCAGCTTCACATATGGAGTGACAAAATGTTTGATTCTCACACACAAATAATACACAGTGGATACATTACCCCTCTCTCTCTCTCTCTCTCTCACTCAAACACACACACACACACACACACACACACACACACACACACTAGTAGACAGCATACTATACCAATTGCAGACACTTTTTCTATCACACACACAAACAGAAAACAGCTGCAGCAGCTAAAAAGCATTTTCTCTGCACTGAAAGATAAAGATGGAGAAGAAAGCAGAGATGAAGGAGGACAGAGGTGAATGGAGTGATGGTCTTTACCTCGTGCAGACGGATGTGTTTGGACACCCCCTCCTCACGCTGCGCTACTCTCATCTGTCTGTTCCCCTCTCTCTCGATCCCGCTCCCTTGCTCGCTCTACATCTGCCCGCCACAGTGGACGAGCGAGTGTATCTCTCTCTCTATGGTTGTAGCACCAAGGAGAATAAAAGCCCGCCTCTGTTCAGACTGTCAGACCTCTCCCTCTCTCTCTCTCCCCTCCTCCTCTGTTCTATTTCTTAATCTCTCTCTTTCAGTTGCATTCAGCTCCATGCATCTTCTATGTATGTATATATATATATACACACACACACACACACATATGTGTGTATATGTGTGTATGTGTGTGTGTAGCTCTGCGTCTGCAAAGTGAGACCACGATTGGCTGCTGTACACACACACACACACACACACACACACACACACACAGGGTGAGATTGTGATTGGCTCCAGACTTATTTTTCTTTTGTTTGCTCACTCACCTTTCTGTCAGTTTCTCTTCATCTCTCACTTTGTCTATCTGGGAAAGAAGATACAACATGGGTCTTATTTGTCAGTTATATGAGATTAGTAATATTTTACTCACCAAAGAAAAATCTGAGGTCTGGGAACACACTGAGAAGGGCGTAAGGGGTTAAGACGTCCCCGGTTCCAATCTGAAAGGGGGCCTTGTCGCATCAGTCTCTTCCTCATTTCTTGTCATCTCTCTGCTGCCTGTAATAAAGGCATAAAAGCAGTCAAACAATCAGATAGGGGTGCAGGCAAAATATAGAATCCCCAAAATCTTTACTGGGTAGGAAAACAGGAAAACACACAAGAAATAGATAGGGTTGGTCAAAGCTGTACGGAAATAGGTCTGGACAACCTGTCCGATCATCTGACTGCTCAGTCGGCTCAGTCAGAACAAGGTATTTTTTTACCACAATTGTTGCATGTTTAAAAAATAAATATGACCTCACATTGTGTCAATCGCTTTTTTTCGCACTTTCGTCACTGGAGTTCAGAACGGATTTGATTTTATGTCAGAAGAGGACAGCACACAGACAAAGAGGGGGGATACCTCAGCCTCATGTAGCTTGTAGTGGCACCAGCCTGCGGAGGAACCTCCATTGGAGAGAAGCAAAGGAAAAAAGGAGAGAGAAGCAGAGAGAGACACAGAGACAGCAGGACCGAGCACCTCCTGTGATACTCTCCCTGTTCTTGACATCTTAGACCCAAACCTTCCATTTTCTGTTTCTACTTTAATCCTCATTGCCTGATGGTTTCTCAAAAACTCATCGGACTCAGTGTGCATGGTTTCCACGTGTAACTAACTTAATCGAATGACGGATTCAAAAAGCTCATACGAAAAATACACACTGGGTGTGCAAAGGCTGCAGAAGGACCAGCGTGCATGCTCTGTGCCCCTAAAACATGGAAGCCTGAGCCTGAAAAACACTGTGAAACATGCTCTAAAAATTTTACATATTATCGTTTGACACATTTATCCATATATTTTACACTAACAATGTCTAAAATGACTATGTGGAAGGGGTCACTTGTAGTGATGTACCTAAAGTTATTATTTAGCTGTCCGGTCCAAAAATGTACTGTTTTGGTTCACTCTCACCGCTCACATAGCCTCTTTTTTAGGCCTCAGCTGGCAGCTGTTTCCAGAGAAGAAGCTCTAAAACTCCACTGTACGCTACATAACCTAGCAGCAAACAGCAGGCAAAGACAATTAGCGACTAGCTGGTGAACATAGTGGAGCATGTAGCAGCTAGAGAACCACATATTTCTTCAGGACCCAAAAAAAGAACTAAAAAGGAGTGAATGTTTGTCTTACATTTGGCCAAAATATGACACCAAATGAAGGCTAATGTTGCTCCACTACTATCAGATGCATTGACCTACTGTAAATACACAACTGTTAAAGGATGAGATGATATATATATAATAATATTGCATACTGTGATAAAAAAAAAAATGATCGCAGTGAATTTTCAATATTGGGAAAATTGTGAATATCCTCACATGACTTGACTTGAAAAAGCTGTCTAGCTCTCCAGCATACAGTCTTATAATGATTTCCTGATTTACTACGAAAAAAGGGACAAGGGGGAGTCTGCGTCTTTCATTTCACAATTCACCATGGCTGAAGGCCTGGCGTTCCAGTTGTATTCCCCACAAAAAAAAGTTAAAAACAGATACTAGGAAATACTGTAGATTCCAAAATAAAGAGCGTCTAGCTAGACTTTCAAAATAAAGCTTGTGTGGTTATTGTGGTCGTTTTGGTGAACAGTGATGTTACCTGACTTTGACAGCGATTCAGTTCTTTACACTAGACAGGCATGTCCACATGTGATGTTAGAAGGGTACCTACAGCGTCATATCTGAAAGTGTGGGACTTTGGGAGTAGAACGTGTTGCAGGGGCTGCCACTGACATACCTTTGAAGTTGATACAACGAACTTGGTAGCAAACAGTTGTTGAAATTAGTGCCTTTACATGAAAAAAAAAAGAAAACCATCACTCTGGCTTCTCCTCAGGCCAGCCATTTCTCAAGCAATTGACAGACTCCGTTATGATGAAACAGGCTGTTCTCTATTCTGCCACTGATGGGTGGTCAGGCTTTCATCTTCACTCCTGTACCAGCGGTAGGAATTTTACCTAGCCTGTCTGTCTCTGTATCACTTTCATGTACCCTGACTGATGGTAGTCCATGTAAAAATACCTTTCCTTATTGTGAGAACAGTGTTATTAGTATAGATAAGAATGATGGCCAAAACGTAAGTAAGACCCAAATAATAAACCAGAATTATCATCTAAGACCACATGCTAAAGAACTAAAGAGCCTATTTTTGGGTTTGGTCTATTAATCACATTGTCCAACATGTGATGAGAGCACTCAGCCAATAATTGATTTTTCATTATTTGGGACTCTTTATGATCTGCAGTGTAATCAGCAGCTCTTTGGCATTTTCACTGTATTTCTGCTGATGCTTTCCATGTGACAGACACAGGGCAGAAAATAGGATTCCAAAGAACTTCTGGTGAGAACAGTATGGAAGGGATTTGTCCTGTAAACTGCAGAAACTGCAAAATTACTTAAGTATTGAATATTCGTCGAGCTGTCAGCACAGAGTGCATTATTATATGCATGCAGTGATATAAAAGCACACAGGCTGTCTTTAGAAAACTCACTGGCTGTCTCTATCAGACAGGTGTATGTACTGTATCTAGTCAGACATATCAGTTTGCCTCACAGATAACATTATTTCTTTGGCCTTTTTGCCTTTAGCAGGAACAGTGACCGGAAAGGACGGAAAGAGGAGGGATGACATGAGCTACCAAGGTGTCCCATCTCTTAATTATGAGCCTCATTAATTTTGTACTCTACATGCCACATTCACCCACTCACACACATTCACACATCAATGGCACAGCATCAGGAGCAATTTGGGGTTCAGTATCTTGCTCAAGGACACTTCGACATGAGCCATGGATCGAACCACGACCTTCTGATTAGTGGACGGTCCTCCTGAGCCCCAGCCAACGTGCACAATCTTTTGTGAGTCAAGATTGTTATTGGACGCTCCAGGCAAACAGTTAGCTAACAATTAGCCGCACTGCTAACAATACCACAGCAATACAGATGTCATGATACCAGAAATGTAGCCGCCAGTGAAATTCCACGATTTTCGATATCAGTTCAATACCACTATAAAAAACAAAACAATAAATCCAATGTACTTCAACTTACAGTACCAGAGCAGCTCCTTTTTCTAATAATTTAAATACTTTCCCTTAAGTTCCCTTCAGTACTCAACACTTGTGCACACCTCCACATCTGGTCTGTGGCTCTAGCTTCCTGTATGTGTCTCTGTTGATTTCCTTAAGCAGTATTTTGTATGGTATAGTTTCGTAAAGCATAAAGTTTAAAAAAACAGAACTTGCTTTTGGGATTTTTTTCACCAACGATTTCGTTTTAACAACAGCAGGCGAGCTGTGTGTGGAGGAGGCTCGTTGGTAATGACATAGCCTTTCAAAATGCTCAAAAACAACGTGGTATCATGCAATGTGTTCCCTGCTGCTTTACCTGGTCCACGCTTAGAAGATATCCACCATATCGGTGCCAGAGCATGTGTGACAGAAGGTGCCTCGTCAGGTCAGGACCCCCACTACAGTTCGCCAAAGCTTTTTGGTTTTAAGATGTGAAACTTTAGTTTGAGTTCACCATGTGGTTCATTGTACAGTTTGGAATATAATAGAAAATATCCATAAAATGTGTCGTTTATTCAGGGGTCATCAGTTTACTAAATGATAGATAAATGATTTTTAGTACTGATTTTAATATTATAAAATCTGATCACAATATATCATTTCATTTATTAAAATAATTCTCTTTTTAATATAAACATGCTTTGAAGAGAATAACAGCATATTTTCATATACAGGGTTGGACCAATTTGATTTGGAATTGCAGGTGTAGAGGTTATCCTGATCAAGGTAAACCAATTAATTAATAGGTCTTAGGTATTAATAGGAAAATTGGCAAAGGGCTCAGGCCACCATTTGGGACAAAGAGAATGAACGCCAGATATAGAAGGGCAGAATAGGTAAGCATGGTTTAAGCTCAGAACATGTAATAAAAGCTAGTTTCAATATACTTTTTTGATCATTAAAAACAGTAATGTATTTCAACGTTTTGACACAAAGTAAAAGAAGTCCTACAGCCTTTGTTGATTTTTGCTCACATCAAATATATTGTTACCAATGGAATAGTTAACCATTACAGGAGAGATCAAAACTGAGACCTGAGGGCTGTACTACGAGGCGAGGTAACTGGCTTGTCCAGGTTACTTCAGGAGTAGCTCTGTGACATCAGGTGTAACCTCCAGGTTAACTCATACTGGATAGGTTTTACCCGAGGTATATCGTCATGGCAATTTACTCTCCATGGGTGCGTCTCATGTCGTTTAATTGCACCCACATTTCCCTGAATTGAGTTTTTTCCCTCCCACCAGGGATGCATGTAGAAACGCCAGGAAACGAGAAGAAGGAAAGAAGGAACGAGAACATATGTTTTTAGGGAATTGAGACGTCCTTTCTTCTGCAGCGTCACTTGAAGCGAGGTTCGTTTCTGACGACAGCTGTCAGTGTGCTTTAACAGCTGTAGAGACTTTTGGTGGAGTTTGTGTCTGCACACATGTGAACCG